TTTTTTTTTTAGTCAGACTGGCAACATCACCCACGGCAGCTGAGGTGGTGGGTGCTTCCATTCAGGGCTCTAGCAACAAAACACCTACACCCCAGGCTTGATCAGTTGATTACTGCCTCTGTACCACCTCTGCTACAGCCAGGTTAGTTCATTAAGCCCTTATGACAGCACAGCTGCCTTAAAGGCAGCCTGGTCCACATATCATTTGGAGAAATGTATGCAAAAATCACTATCAGCTTCACTGCTCTGTGAAGAATAACCACATTATTTATTTATACTGCACCATTAACATGCACGGCAACATTTATAATTGAAAAGACGGATTCCCCATTCTGTGGTGAAGAAAGGGAGGGAGGGAGGGAGGGAGGGAGGGAGGAAGGAAGGAAGGAAGGAAGGAAGGAAGGAAGGAAGGATATTTCAGGAAAAGGAGACCAGTTGGAAGTGGAGGAGTCTTACAGAACATTATTGTCAAGGAGAGATTACTACCTATCAGGCTATATATATTTCTACAGGGGTGGAGGATTCGTTAAAATTATCTGACTAAAGTGCTAGATGGATCTAGATTATATCTGAATATGATTGGAGAATTTTATCCATTTTATCTATACAGAACAGAACAGCTTTGTTTTTCCATTATGTGGAATATTCCCCCTGAGCTGAAACAGTTGGTGGCTCATTATGAAAAATCTGCATTTTTCTTTGAAGAAAAAATCAGATCCATCAATCATAGGCCAATTTCAAACAATCCATTTGGGAAAGGTGATCAAGAAGTCTCATAGTTCTAGGCTTATGTGCATGTTTAAAAGCTAATTTCATTTGTCCTTTTGATAATAATTGTTTTAAACACCTTGGTGGAAACCTACCTCTCTGGATAGGGGGAAGGAACCCTGATATTTTTCTAGAACTTTTTATTACTTTTAGTACCATTTTTGGCATTTTTTTTCCTATTTAAATAAATCTGTTTTTGATGTTTTACAATGTTCATTGAACAGTAGAATTTTGAACATGTCTCAAGAGTTGCTTTTGTTCTTGGCATCTTTACCCGTCTCAGTTCATTACGAGACATATTCAGTACATGTCATCAAAGAAAAATGCACAAGTAACACAGAACTGTAGAAGTGGTGTTACAAGAACGAGCACCACTTCTACAATTCTGTGTTACTTCTGCATATTTTTCTTTGGTGATATGTACTGAACAAGAAGAAAAGAATTAACATATAAGTTGCTCAGTCAAGTTGAGAAAGTGCAAACAGATGACAAAGGCAAGACAGAGTTGAACTCTTATTTGGATTCCATCTTCTCCAACAAAGTTGCTTCCAGGGGAACTTGAAAAAACAGGATGAAGACTAGGATTGAAATTCAAGAGGCTAGAAACATGGTCAGGTGATACCTTTTTACTTACTTAATTTAAATCTCCAGGAATAAATGAACTGCATCACAGGTATGAATGGGCTATCCAATCACATTATCTTTTGAGAAATCTTGAAGGTGCCAGCTGGATGACTTTGGACAAGTCACTCCCTTCCAGCCCTAGGAAGGCAGCAATGGAAATCCACTTTTGAAAAAAATTGTCAAGAAACTGCATAAAATGACCTGAATGCAAAAACCCACTATCCTTAAAAGATACGGGATTGCTAAAGATGTAATACAGTATATTATCTTCAGCAAAGCTGACTTAGTATCCAATCACAAGCTGATTAATAAATTAGGTATAGGTGCATGACAACTGAATATATTATAGTTCATTCAAAAGCATACTCAAAAGTGCTCATGAGTGGTTCTACATCTAATTAGAGAGCTATTGAATTGACAGCCATAAGGGTCAGTCCTGGGTCCTGTATGCTAAAATTATTTTATTAAAAAAAGAAGTGTGAATATTTATCAAATTTTCAGTCAACAGAAATTTGGGAGAAACAGCTAATAGCTTATAAAAAACATTCAAAATTATTCTGATTGATAAGTGCAAGTAACAGAAAATTTGAGACAAAGGAAGCAAAATCAAATGCATAGATAGAAGATGTGGAATATCAATCTTGGGAAGATTATTTCTCAAAAAGTTCTTAGAATTCAAGTATTAACTAGGTCCAGTCCTGCTTAAGTGTGTTGCACAAATAGGGCCTTTTGTCACACCTCTGCCCAAAATCATTACATAGTTCATATTAATTTTATATATTTTTACTAGTTATTGCCATGTTTTTATTATTTGTCACTGCAAAAATATTTCAAATGTATTTTACTAAATTAGACCAATTCTTAGCTCATTGGGGCTGATTTAACAAAGAGAACAGAACTTAAATATAATGATGTTTTCAATTTTAGTTTTGGTGAAACACTAAACCATTTTATAAAAATAAAATAAAAATTCAGTTATATCTACTTTTGTATAACTGGATTTGTGCAATTTTAATATAGTATCAGAAAATAAATCAATCAGCAATCCAGTGACAAAACTGGAAAACAAACCAACATTTTAGAAATTATTCCATTTTATCCATTTAAGAAAAGTCTAGACAAATTTGCAGGGATAAATTATTTATTTTTCTGTATTTTTTCCAATGTTGAAACAAAAACATTTCCAAAGTGATGGGGAACCATTGTGGAATTAATGTGCTACACAGAACCTTAAATGCAACACTCTTTCCAAGAAATGTGCAACTCAGAAGCAGAATTAATGAAATGTACAATTATTCAGAACAGAAAGTTGTGGTAGGTTAGAACAAAATATTTATTAAATATGACTCCACAAAAATTACATCCAAAATGTTAACAGATGGTAACATCTTCAATGTCAGATTCTCATCTCTTTCTCTCACGCACTGCATCAACCATCAAGTTATCACACCTTATTATTAGGAAGTTCTTCAGACTAACCAGTCTACATGAGTTTTATTTTATTGACAGTTCTGAAGAGGAATCCGCAAAACTACATAGGTGATAATGACATTCTCCACCATAATAGTGATTTTACTCTAAATTCCTTACATTACTCTATGTTTGTTTTTAACTCAACTCGAAACCCAAGAATATGCAATATATTATCATATGACTTCATTATAACATCAGAAGGTTAAGTGCAAGTCTTCCTTTTCAGAGCACAGTTAGATGACGATCTTTCTGGAAATACATCATTCACTTCTCTCTTTTGGGACTGGTGGCCATATAGAGAGCTATCAGACAGTAGATGGCCCCTCCTATTGTTAATGCCATAGTGGTCCGGTAAAGAAGTCGATCGGGAAGGCTTCGTTTCAGATGTACTGGAATATCATCAGGCCTCTATCAACAAATTATATACATATGAGTTAATACAGTAGGGAAATTAATATTTATGCAAAACCTGGGAAAAAATTAAATGGAACCTGACAACCTAGCTCATCTTCAAATAAAATGTTCTAGTTATCTGTCATACATTTTACATAAATTTCAGAATCCTGAGAAATCTGTCATTTAAAAATATGTAATATAATTTTCTGGATTTGTTAGTATGAGTATCTATGACCATTTTTTTTTATAACTACCTGGCTCCTTGTCCCATGACTTTTCACATTAAGAAAGTGTTGCTATGCAAAATGTAAGTTCCAGTACTATTTCTAAGAATGACTTCAAGGCCTAAATGGGCAACATACACTTTCTTACAAAAATTAAAATGATTGGCAGATACAATCCCACAAAGGACAAACTGGCAAAGATGTTAACTTATATTATTCAAAAATAAAACAAGACAAACAAGACCAAAGAAGCAAATAAAATATGCACCTTAAAGGCTATATTATTTGCATAAAAATATGGTGTTAGGAATGCTACTATAGAAATAGAATCCATACATTCTAAGTGTAACTGTGCATGTTCTGTGTTTTTCATTAAATATACAGACTTGAATATAGTGGGGGAAAAAGAGATGCTAACTTCTAAGTATGACAGGCAGAGCTGAAACATATCAAGTATGTTAACAGAATGTTTACAGATTAAAAAAAAATTCTCACCTGAAATAATTTCTGCAGTTTTGGTACTTTGTTCTTAACCAAACCCCCAACCTTGTTTGGTGTGTCTGAAGCAACTTTAATTGGGGTATCAAATATCACAGCTGGAGACTCCACAGATACTACTGGCTTGAATCCCTAAATAAACAATTGAATTTATGCAATTGAAAACATTAATTAGCAATCAACAAAAGAGTACAAAACAAAAGCACATCTGATTTCACCTGGAATGAAAACTTTCTAGATTGTGGATTTTCATATATTCTGTGCGCTGCTTGGAGTGAACAAGAATAGGTTAGAAAACTTGGAATACTCCAGAAACATTGACAAAATACATATTTAGAGCACAATTAGTTAGGCAGCCCAAAGATTTCATTAACATGGAGAAGGGGCTTTTCCCCCCCAATTAACGTCAAAATTGTAGCCACAATAATGTGACTAAAGCCCTGACCTTCTGCATGTATGACTGTGGCCATCATATTGACTTTTCTGATCATTTTGCAGATATCTGTGACTATTGCAGTGTTTGTGTGCCCATCAGTTGTTGTGAAACAAAAAAACCCAATCATTCATTACTTCAGTCCATACAGTACTTTCAGGGTTTCTGGCATGGGAATAAATTTGAATAGTGGAAGAAGAATAACAAGACAGGGTACTATTGCTCAGTAGGATAAACTGAAAAGCTGGGGAATGCTTAATTGTGGATGTACACTTTCCCCTTCCTGTCCTTTCCATAGTGTTCAATGCAGTAATAAACCCATCTTGCTCAGTTATCTCAGGATATTTATGAACAGTACAGTAGTACAATCTTAAAAGTGTGGAAGCTGCCTTTTATACAGATGGGGGGGGAAAATAGAGACAGCAAGTTTTATTCTAAACCAGCAATTCATTTACCTTCATTCCTGTGGAATTTTGATCACATTTATGAGCATTCCTGAACAAACACTAATTATGGGTTGAACACATTCCCTTCAGAATGCAATGTATCTTTATGCATTCAAAGTGAAGACTTAAAATATAAATGATTCTGAAAAGCTTTACTCTCCCCACCCCCAATGGCAATTTGTAATTCACAACTGAATTTAATAAGGCTACATTGACATAAACACATTATGGAGCACAACTACAATCACCTTTATACAGATTCTCTAGTTTATTATTCCAGACAGCAAGTGTGAACACAATGTGCTGGGAATTAAATTTCCATTTTAACAAGGTTAATAAGTGTATACTTGAAATTAATGCCTACTAATTACTTTTTGTTAGCTCATCCATCAAACTGCCTGCCAATCAAAAACACTTTTTAAAAAACAAATGGTGCATTTAGTGTAATTATATTTATCAAGACATGCAATAGGATCCCGGCCAGTTAAACAGCAAGTTATCTGTGTCTGTAACTTACTTGTTTCAGTTCAAAGTGTTGTTTTTTGAGGACAACTTCTGAACCTTGATTTATATTGATATTTCCTTTATATTTACAAACTGTTGTATGTAAGCTTGGTCTCTTTCTTCTAATTAGAAAGTTGCCATGAACTGAGACACAGTTAATCCCATTTTTAAAGAACTTGCTGCTAAAGAAGGCACATTTAAAGATATTAATATTTTTATGATTATTCAAGATGGGGAGAACAGATTACTATTTTGAATCTTGTAGCTCAACAACAAACAACAATTAGATGCTCAAACATATTTACTTGACTGTGTAGTTAGCTTGAAAGCAGTAGCTATTTACAGAGCTTATTGGCTCGTTAGCTTTTTGGTTTTATTTTGTTGCACAGAATCTGTATGCTCTTCATGGATATGTATCTCTCAGTTCAATCATTAATTTTGAACCATCAAGTAATGAAGTAATTTGAAAAACATGCACAAGAATAGGAGAGGAACATGTGTCCTCTTTGCTATTCTCTTCATGGTGGAAATAAAGAAACATGAACTATGAAATAAACAACGATGAACCGATTCCCATGTCATTCAAACCATACTCAGAACAAGCCAGGTTATAAAGTCAACTTTAGACTATGCTGCAATGTCCTGTCTTATCCTTGTCCAGTTTATATGGAATAGGAAACTACACTTAAATGGAAGACAGCCTAATTTGTTAATTTGTTTACATAAGTCAAATTGACTTGCTATGAGTTTGTGTAAATCAGATTTTAAAATTATATTTAGAATGCATAGCTAGCCATTAGCCAATGCTTCATATATCATACTTTATATTTTGAATTATTTTAAAAATAGTTATATTTTATCTCTTTCAAGATTCATTTATCTTTCAAATGAAGGGCTGAAATCATTAATAATTTGTTTTTATGCTATGTGGCTAAAAGGATGCATTATAGAGATGCACTATGGAAATTATTTTTTCCCATTTTTACTTTTTATCATCAGAAGGACAGTATAAGGCAGGGGTGTCAAACTGTCAGCCAGCGGGCCAGACGGGTCATCCCAAAACCGCGCCCATCCCATTGCCAGCAATGGAGAAAAAGCTCTGATATGTCGTGCGACGTCACGTGACGTCTCGAGTTTGACATGCCTGGTATAAGGTGTACTGATCATTTGTGAGAGCCCCATGTATGTCATAGACCATGGTTAAGGGAAGAACTTGGATGATAAACATACAAATACAAACAACATGAAAAAGAGTAAAAGAATATAATACAGATGAATAAACTAGGACTTTAAAATTTTTGTAGAAGATATACCTTTCTAACATAACATTAACTAATTGCAAATAATTACATGAGAATCAGTTTGGTGCATGGGATAAAGACAGCAAGCTATAACCTGAGAGCCTATGTATTCTAGCTTCACCTTAAGCATTAAGCTAACTGGGTGACTTAGTGCCAATCACTCTGAGCCTTAGGAAGAAGACACTTCCAAAAATGTTGTAAGAAAGCTGCAGGGACTTGTCAAGATAGTCATTAGGAATCAAGACTAACTTGAAGACATGCACACACAAAAATAGTTAAATATATTGTATATAGGTAATCCTTATTTAGGAACCATTTACAGTTACAATGATAATGAAAAGTAACTTTATGACCAATCCTTGCATTTATGACCATTGCTAGTCTGTAAACAAAGTTGAATTAAGATAATAAACACAGTCATGGTTTCGTTTACTGACCACTTTGCTTAAGAACCAAGTTGCTGGTCCCAAATGTGCTTACAAATGAGAACTACTTGTATACGTTACATTAAAAATTTAAAAGTCTCTATTAAACTTAAGCTAAAAGTCAATATAAGGAATCAGAGTTAACACAATTCACTAAATGGAATTATCTGAATTAGCTATAATGAACTCAATCCACACTACAAGAATCTATTCTTAGTAGAACTTAGATCTCTCATAACCCCAAAATATAAATTCTTTCTGAATATATTTGCAGTAAATTTAATATTCTTCTTCCACTGAAATTTTGATGGTTGCTATTTTTACTACTGCATTCAAATTCTACATCAATTTAATCATACAATCTCTGACCTGTTCCAATGTTCATCAGTAGTTTATAATTAAGGCACAATTAATATTTCAAATGTTTTTAACATTATGCTACAAATTAGTAGATATTGAGACTAATCAAATAAACTGGACCATTGTTAAGTGTGTTTTAAAAGATTCTATTTTGGTCTTATTAAACCTTGCAATCTGAACAAATTTGTTTAGCTAAACAAATACAAGAGGAAGAGATCCAGACTGATTATTTTCTGTATTTATCCCAGCTATTCAATACATGACTTATTATTGCCTGATCTCTTATAGATTTCTTCTGCTAACCTACAAAAATGTATGCTAATTGTCTGGAAGTCCTGCTCCTTCTACAGCAGGGGTGTCAAACTGCAGGCCCATGGGCCAGATGCGTCACGTAGAAGCCGTGCCCAACCCAGCTCTTGGCAAGGGGAAAAGTCGCGATACGTTGTGACACATCACGTGACGTGGTAAGTCTGACACTCCTGTTCTATAGATTCAACCAATCCATAAGATAAAATCCATTCTGAAATCCCTGCTAACCAACTAGCTAGGTTTACAATATAAAGTTCAAAGCTGCTAATTCATCTTGCTCTGTTGAGTAGTGTAGAATCTTAAATTTATTGCATCTAAAGATGTCTCTAATAATGTTTTTGCAAAACCAGAATTTATGTAGATCATAAGACCAGAATTTATACAGAATATAGACATTTTTCCTAAGTAGTCCTAGTTCTTTTAAAGCCAACAGATAAATGCAAACAGGTAAATGTGGAAACAAAGGGACAGTTCCTCATCAACCCTCCTCTCCCTGTAATCAGCATGAAAGCCAAGCTAAATGGCAGGCAAAAGATTTATCGTGCTTTTGCCAGCTCATAACTTGTATGAAACCCTTTTTAGGCTATGGTACTGAATGAAAAACTAAATATAAGCAAGTACTAATATATAAATTGTCATGGAAATCTAGACATAACCTCTATTTAAAGTAGTAATCAGTTAACCATAAAAACGAAATAAAATTTATTTCAACAATCCTGCTCCAAAGCAGAAATAATTACTATATAATAACAACATGCTTCTACCACTTCCTATGTCCTTTACTATAAAGGTCAAGAGTCTTAAAGACCTTGTCCTTGGAGGGTCATCATATTTACATGTGATTAGCAGGGTTTATCTCCATTTGTGATATCTGAACTGTAAATAAATCAATTTATTAAACAACTCCTATATGTAGAGGTTTTTCCTTTAAAAACCCTATCCTACACAATTACAGATCTTAATTATATATACAAATGTTCCTCCCAGCTTTTAACATATTAATTGATTGAATTTAATTTGCCTCTTCTCTTCTATGTATTTTCATTTCCATGTGGGTCATTTTTCCTCTTGACATGGAATTCTTTTTAATCAAAACTAAAAATACCTTTTTTTTTCTTTCTTGCACATTAGGAACTTATTTTATCTGAATTTGGAAAGATTCGGGCTCTGGAAGAAATCAGGGCCCTGAAGATTACTGATTCCTGTCAAAATTCATATAACATTAAAGATCAATAACTATTACGTTAAACACACAATATTGCATATTAGAGCCTTGTAAAAACTGGGGGGGGGGGATTTAAAATAGAATAATCAGAAGAAATGTCTTTTTTCCCAGTAAAAGGTTGTCCATTTTGGAATTGTTCTGAAGGTTAAAAAAAAACAAAAAACCTCTCCTGAATTAAATAACTATATACATGGGCTTTACGTCACTTGTACACAAGAAATCATAACACGTGAACGTTTGAGAGTCCCTCCTTCCAGACAAACTGCTCAAGGTCAAGCCCTCGTGTCCCTGGCCGTCGGTTGCTCCTCGTGCAACGGGAACACCGGGCGAAGCGGCCAGTCCGTATCTCCTTTTAGTCCAGTGTTTCTCAACCTTGACAATTTTAAGGCATGTGGACTTCAACTCCCAGAATTCCACAGCCAGCAATGCTGGCTGTGGAATTCTGGGAGTTGAAGTCCACATGCCTTAAAATTGTCAAGGTTGAGAAACACTGTTTTAGTCAATCAGCAGGTGCCACCCCTCCGCTGTCACCCGCGGACGGGAATCCACGTGTCCCTGCAGACCCCTTTGGCACCCCTTCGTGAGGCATCGCCCCCTCCCTTTCGCGTTCTCCGCCGCCTAAAGAGAAATGAGCCTCGTAGGCACACGTAGGGAAACCCTTCGCTGCACGGAATACAACTGTGAAGGTCGATTCGCCTGTCGCTCGGCAACGTGATTCTCGTTACCTGAGGGGAGCAGGCAGCGGAAGCGCCGGTCCCAACCAGCCTCTGCGTGAAGCCGCCGAATTTGTAATACATGACGGGACCTCGGAACGACTCCCCTAAGCTACATGTGCCCTCCCGCTTTGCAAGCAAGAAGGTACCCGGCTGCGACGTCTATGGCAAAAAGACCTTCCTTGCGACTGGCTCCTTCTTGGACCTCTATACCAAAAGTAGGCCCCAAAGGAGTGCCTGAAATGTTTTACCTCGAAGGAAAACGAAATGAAACTAAAGACATTAGCCAAGGCTATGAAATGAATTGTATCATGTAAGAATATGCATCATGGTGAAGTTAGCGGGGCCAGAAAAAAAAAGACATTTTAATTGGGCAATATTTTAGACAGCCTGAAAAATAAAAAAAAAAGTAGTGCGCTTGCGTAGTTCGTAGTCTGTATTGCCGGTCCGGAGAGGTAGTTATACGCAACGAAAGTGGGGGATGTTGCACTTGTTTCCTATGCTAGTCCAATTTTGGTCAGCTAGGTGGCAGTATGTAGCTGACCTTGGCCGAAAGGCTGTGTAGGGTCAGTGCTATGCCGGGAGAGGAAATCCCAAGGATGTGTTAGACGCGGAGGATAGAAAAATAACCTGGAAGAAAGCAGTGGTAAACCACTTTAATAAGAAAATTCCTAAGAAAATTACAAGGATATATCCATGAGATCACCAGGATATGAAGCAGGATGAAACTAAGCTCTCCCCCTCCAATTTAAACACATTCTAAATGTTATGTTATAATGCTAGTGCAGTTTATTGTCACCACTATTACATGCCCATCTGAAAAGCATTAGATCAGTGGTTCTCAACCTGTGGGTCGGGACCCCATTTGGGGTCGATCAACCATTTCATGGGGGTTGCCAAGCAAGGCTGTCTGCCATTTTTTTTGTCTGCCATTTTTTTTGTCCGCCATTTTTTTCCCCTTTTCCGGCAGGTGCCTTACCTCCCTTGGGCTGGGCCAGCTGGTGGTCAGCCTGCTCCGTCTCTGCCGCTTGCCAGCTACGCCTCGGCCGGTGCAGGGGGCAGAACCATGCATGCGCGGCGCTCCCGGGCAGGGAAAGTCCTCGACTTACGACCAGTTGGGTAGTCCTCGACTTACGACCGGTTTAGTCCTCGACTTACGACCGGTTTAGTCCTCGACTTATGACCGGTTGGGGTCGCGGCATTAAAAAGGTTGAGAACCACTGCATTAGATTGACAAAGGATGGAAGGGTGTTTACCAAGATTGCAGTGTAGTTTAGCTTTTATTTTAGTTATCAGTTTGTGGGCAGTTTAATAGTTAAAGTAAGTCTAGGTGTCAAAACACTACTTTTGAGACACTGATTCACTATTTTTTTTCCAAAGTACAGATTTAGATAAAAGTAAAAACTTGGCTGAGCTCAACTCAACTTCTTTGACACATCCGTTTAGTTTTTTTTGGTAACAGTACTGCTGGAATAAATTTATTTATTTATTTTATTTATTTTATTTTACAAAATTTATATGCCGCCCTTCTCCCCATGGGACTCAGGGCGGCTCACAGCATGTTAAAACAATATACAGAATTACCCCTTCTAAAAACCAATTAAAACCCAAATATTAGTGGCTGTGACTATTTAAAATCATTAAAAAAATTATCCCTATTTAAAATTCACCCTAGGTCAGTCCCGCTTGTTGAAAAAGCCATGTCTTGAGGGCGCGGCGGAAGGTTAGGAGATCCGGAATCGTCCGGATCTCGGGGGGTAGTTCGTTCCAGAGGGTGGGGGCACCCACAGAGAAGGCCCTCCCCCTGGGGGTCGCCAGCCGACATTGCTTGGCCGACGGCACC